GAGGATTTCTGCAAAGATTTTTGATAGAGAGAAAAAAATATCTTTCGTCCCTATTTTTGTGGGGAATGGTAGATTCCCGTAGGCACGTGGATTCCTTGTCAAATATTAAAATTATAGAATTTAACCTCATTTTTTGGTAAATAAATTTTATAACATTATATAAAGAATAATTCATGGGATATAAAAATAAAAACTTACAGAAGTGAAAAGCATGCAAAAAATTTCACAAACACCATAAAAAGTGCTATATAAAGAAATATAAAAAAAAAAAAAGAATAACAATTTGAAATAAGTAAATGTATACAATGGTCCAGCAAATGCATACAATCCAACAAATCCATAAAAAGCAATATAAAAAGAGTATAAATTTGTAACAAATTGGATTTCATATTTTTATAAATACATTATAATTTATAAAAATAAAAATTAGGTTGGTTTGGATTGGGTAAAAATTAATTGGGTTTTATGTTTTTATAAATCTATTATAATTTATAAAAATATGAATTTTATATTCTTTATCGTATACAAATCTATGCAGGAATCCATAGGTGGAGGAAATTTTTTGCAGAATTTTGCTGAGAAAAAACTACTTCCATCCCCACCTCACAAAGAAGTATATTCTCCAAATTTTCATTCCTATTCTTTTTTGAACAACAAAAATTTTTATTAAATGAAGTACAAGGGGTCCAAATTTTCATTTCCATGACAAGGATTATTACTGAACTTTGCAAATTTTGAAGTAAATTACCATCTCTAGGGATGACAATGGGTCTCATGGGAGTGGAAACCCCCTCCCTATCCCTATCTCTGCTAATTATGGGTATGGGGATTCCCATTGGAATTTTTGATGGGAATAAAAAATAACCTTTGTCCCCATACTTGTGGAGAATAATTGGTTCACGTGGGTATTTAAAGTTATTGCAAGTATTAAATATATAGCATTTAATTTTATTTTTTTCTTGATAATTAAAAAAAGAGTAAAAATTGAAAACAACTCAAATAAGTAAATGCATTAACATATAGTGCAGCTAAGCAATATCTAGTAACCAATTATAACAAATGCACATTACCATACAACGTCCAACAAGTCCAACAACAAGTTCATAAAAAAATGCATGGACTGTCATACGTCTTAAGGTTGGATTAGGTTATTGACTTAGGTTTGGGAAGATTAGAACTAGAAAAGGAATTAGGCTGGGCAATTTAAGTTAGGTTAGATTAGCTAATTAGGTTGAATGAGTAAAAATTACTTAGTAATATATTTATAAAAATATGTATAAGAATAAATTTATATTTTTTTTTATTACATATGGATCTTCATGGGTCTTCATAGGATGGAAGAAATTCCCTATAAAATTTCATATGAAAAAATACCTCCTTTCATTCTCTATAAAAAGAAATATTCTTGAGATCTCCATTCTCACTTTATGAAATTTTGCAAGTCTCAAGGAAATTACCATCCCTAATCCCTGCTCTCTAGGGGTATTCTTATTCGATCAAATCTGATCGATCCAATTTAAACTGATCAAATCCATTCAAAAACTGATTCAAATTGATATAAAATTAGGTTGGTTTGAATTCTAAAATTTTAAAACCGATATGATTGGTTTGATTCGTGATTTTACCTTCAAACCACTCAAACTGCCTGATTACAAAATAAAATCTGATTCGAAGATAATTTAATTAAATAATATAACATATTTTTTTGTAGTATTTTAAATTTTCTTTTTCTTACTTTACAAGATTATAACTCCATTAATTTAATTAAAAAATAAAAATAAAATATCTTCATATTCCCTAAGTTATTTTTTCATTTTAATCATACATTTTAACCATAATTCGAAATTTCTAATTCACCTTGAACTCTATCATTTCAGAACTAGTTTGCACTTTT